AGCTGGACTTGTGCACTTTTGTTTATGTGAACGAGTTCTGTTAGTTCCTTGTCTCTCTGCATGTGTTGATATAATAATATAATAGTTTGCCTTTGCACTTGCCTTTGCAATGTCTGTTTCAGAAAAGGTGCTAATAAAATATGTGGTTGCAAGGAGGGTGGGTTTTTTTTTTTGGGGGGGGGGGGGTGAGGCAGTCGAGTTTAATAATAATTTTAGCAAGTTTTCTTTTTCTTAGTGAAAGGAAAAACCAATCTATAAACATTAGAAGGAGAAGAGGTATAAGAAGAATCCAAACGAATATAAGGCTTACGTCTTTAATGAATCTTAATATGGCTCAGCAGAGGCATGTTTACGTCCGTGTTTATTGATTTGTAACGAACCGTCGACACTTGAAAAAGCTCTAGTGTAAAGGAACAATAAAATACTAAACCCCAAAGTATAAAGCACACAAGTACACAACTAACAAAAGAACAAAAACTGTTTTAAAGCCAAAACATTTTATAAAAACCTAGCATGTCATCGTCATGATGCAGATTCAAATAAAAGTGCTCTTCTGTAGTAAGTACAACTCAACTACATGACATACCTGGGGGGGGGGGGGGGGTTGTTTTTATTTTGCTGGGTTTTTTTGTGGGGGGTGTTTGTCTTTTTTGTCTTTTTTTTTGTGTGGCTTTTTCAGCCTCTAGAGTGTAGCGGGTTGTCGGCTCTCCGTCACACGAAGAAGACCCGGGTTCGATTCCGAGCGAGAAGAATTTTTTTCGATTTTCCTTTTTTCTATGTTGGGAGGTGGTGGTATCTCCCGTAATAAATTATTTACTTTTTGTCGATATGGGCGTAAAAGCGCCTACTAACAAAACAACAAAAAACGTTTCATTGTGCAAATGCATACCGGTACTTCTTTGTAATGCAAAGACTTCCTTTTCCTGCATCTCCTTGACAGTTTTCACACTCAGGGACACACACGCACACACACACGCACGCACACACACACACACACACACACACACACACACACACACACACACACACACACACACACACACACACACAGACCCACACAAACTCATATACACACGCACACATATGCACACACACACATACACACGCACTCGCGCGTGCGCTCGACGCACATGTGAACATCGATAGATACGCACAGCCACCAGCCACAAAACAGCATGGACAAAAATGATATACTGAAAGAACATGTTATTATGTGTATTGGGAATTTCGGTCAATACTCATTAAAGCTGGTCAGAAACAAATGCTTTTTTTAGCGCTGATTTGAATGTTGATAGAGTGGATAGCTCCTGATGGTGTGCTGGTAATGTGCTCCCTAGAGAGAGGGCGTGGGGTGAAAAAGCTCTCTTCTTGAGCTCTTAACATCGAGCATATCATTTTAACAGTCTAACTGGCCGATTTTTCAGGTCAGGGTGGTAAGTATTCAAAATCATGTAGTAAAGATATGATATTGCAATGTTGTAGATGCCCTTATAAAACAAAGGGCAGCTGGCGTGTACTAAATAATGTGCTTACTATGTCCCATATCAGTGCATGATACACATGTACATTGCTAGAAGGCTTGTCTTATTTAAACTTAAGTAAGCCAACCAGAAGGGGGATAACTTCATTCCTGTGAAAAATAGCGAAACGAGGTACTTTCATAATATCACCCCTGAGTGCGAATAGAACTCACGTATTTTGTGTGCGATGCGATCAGCTTAATTTCAACACAATAGACTTCTATAACAATATGTAGACACTAGTCCAGACGTTTCCTATGTGAGGGGAAAGGGGGTTGGGGGGTGTTAGTTTGGTAACGTTTTAGGAGGCAGCGCGTGACAAAACAGAAAGTAAAGACTGATGTGAGACCCTGCCAAACCAATATCTCTGTAACATAGACATTATTTAGAGTCGTTGTCGGATTGTTGACCTCCCCGGAAGGACGGCACAGGGCATGCAGCCTTTATTTGATCGAGGTATCGACATTTGGGAACTGATAAGCTCAGGTCCCATCAGCAGTGTAGTCTGGTGCAGACAAAACTCTCTATCTCAGTGTCTGCGACTTGTGATTTCTGTGGTCCGTCGTGATTAGCAAGTCGCAACTACCGCATTTATCAGGCTGGTCATTTTGTAGAACAGTACGAGAGATGGAGAAGTTCTGATATTGGATTTAGATACCGGAAATTATTTAGGGAGTATTTAGCTAGGACAGGAGGGAAAGAGAGATAAAGTGGATGGTATTAAATGGCTTGGGGGGGGGGGGGGGTTCGTACAACAATGTAGTATCCCCCCTTCTTTCTCTCTTTCTCCCTCTCTCTTTCTCTCTCTATCTCTCTCTCTCTCTCTCTCTCTCTCTCTCTCTCTCTCTCTCTCTCTCTCTATTTTTCCCTCTTTTTTCCCTCTTGCTGTCTATCTATCTATTTGTCTATCTATCCCTCCATCCATCCGTCAATCCATCCATCCATCCATCCATCCATCCATCCATCCATCCATCCATCCATCCATCCATCCATCCATCCATCAATCCATCATTATTGTCATCGTCATCATCATCATTATATATTATAATAGTAATAATAATAATAATAATTATTATTATTATTATTATTATATTATTGTTATTATTATCAGTATAATTAATAGTATTATTATTAATATTGTTGTTGTTATTATTGTTATTAATGATATAATTATTATTATTATTATTATTATTATTATTATTATCTTTATCGTTATTGTTATTATTATTATTATTATTATTATTATTATTATTATTATTATTATTATTATTATTATTATTAT